CTATGTATGTGTGTGTATGTATCTGTCGCATAGCTAAAAGATACTTTTGTATCTTTAAGCCAGCCAGCCTACCATGCGTTACGCCCACATCGAACAACAGATGTGGGCTAACTTTTTAACCAAAACTGTCGCAGTTTCATTATGCCCAAAAAAAACGAAGAAAAATATTGTGTATATGCCATATGAACTGCCATAAAACCCAGTTTTAATGTTTGTTGTACTAAGTAGCTCTTAAAATGATTATTGTTGTTGTTGTTGTTGTTGTTGTTGTTGTTGTTGTCTGGCTGATGTAGGGCGACGGCGAGTCTGTCAAAGATGGGCCATTGTTCACGAATAAACTGGTCGCAGTTAAGAAAATATAAATTTTTATATATGTATATGCAATTTATCCAAAAAGAAGCGTAAACAATTTATACAGATACAACTATAAAAAAAAAAGACGAAAAAAAAATAACACAATTAATACATGTACATATATAGAACATTAAATAAAATAGCCAAGAAAAACATCAACAACAATTTTAAATAATACAAAAGCGAGTAGAAAAAAAAAACAACAAATTTATATATTGTATTTTTTTTTCGTTGCCAGCGCACACGACGACGGCAGCGACGCTGGCAGCGCGGCAGCTTTGCTGGCGGCGCAGGCCTCCATTCATTATAAACGGTTTCATTCATAAAAACGACTCTGGCGAGCGAGTGAGCGAGCTGCACGAATTCGCCGTGTGGCGCTCTTTGACTCGACTGAATTCGCTCGACTCGTTGCGAATTCGCTTTCGCTGGACTGTGATTTGCGCTCGCTGAAACGAGTTGAGTTTTGTGGCATTGGAGAGGAAGTTTCGAGTGTCGACTATGCGCGCGTGTATGTGTGTGTGTGTGTGTGTTACATACAAAAATACATATGTACACACAGTATGTATGTATGCATACATTTAGCAAGCCATTTTGATACTATGCCATATAGTAAATGTACATACATATATGTATATAGATATGTACGTATGTATATATGTGTGTGTAGATATTTGTGCTTCGCTTCCTTCTGCCCTGGAAAGTTTATGCTAATCTGTGCCTTGGCACCCAATAGTCTGTGTTCCAAGCTAGTCCGTTTTTTGTTTCTGCCTTAGCTGTTATCTATAGTCGATCCGATTTGCTTGCTATCTCCCCTGATTTTGAGGCTTGGCTTATTAGACAACAAACAACTCTTCGCGCTCGCTTTAACTTTTTGTCGTTGTTGTTTTTCAACGCACGTCGACGCTGTCGACGTCGCTGCCGTTGTTGTTGCTGCCGTTGTTGTTGTTGTTGTTGCCGCGCACTTTTTATGTTGAAGCCAAGAAAAGTGCTACTGGTTTTGAGATTTTATTTTAAAGTCGCTGCGCACAGTTGCCAACGCGCCGCAGAGTCGTGTATTTTTCATTTGACACTGACTGCGCGAAGCACTCGGCAACTCTGCCGAACCTCAACAGCAACAACAACAACAGCAACAACAGCAGCATCAGCAGCCCAAGCAGAGACCAGCCACAGCCAGCCTGCCAGCCAGACAACGTTGAACCAGTCGTTGATGTGTTTGCCTTTCAATATCTTTCACACTGTAGAGCGTTTTCTTGTTGAAATTTCAACTTCGATTTGACTCACATTTTAAAACTGAGTTAATTAACATTTCTTAAGCAACCTTTTTGCCCCAAATATATTGTATCTTATATATTGTATCTTATTGCCAGCTGTGTGGCTTAGTTGTCTCAGCTTTGAACCAGCAAAAGAGCAATCGCTGGCTCAAATTCATTTTGCATTTGCTATTTTTCCAATACTACAGCATAAAAGTGTTTAAATATATGCATATTAATGTATTGACATAGCAAAACGTAGTCCCTCATTCGACTGAGCAACATTTGAATTGATTTAAACAAGCATTTTGAACTGTTTGCACAGGTGAATGCTTTGAGACAATGGTCCCGCCTGTTGTTAACTTTTCTACTCACACCACACACTGGCACGACAACAACAACAACAACAACAACAACAACAACAGCAACAGCAGCAGCGTATGCTTACCTCATGCAACATTCAGATACAGATACTTACTCGCACACAGATAAACACTCAAACAGACAGACACTCGCACTCACACACACTCACACACACACACACTCACTTGGCAGCTGCAGCTATTCATGCATAGACAACAACCAGCGACAACAACAACAACAATTACAACAACAACATCGCCGCGGTTTTGTAGCTACTTTCGCCTCGCTGTGTGCGTATTTTTCATTCATATTGGCAGCCAACGCGAAACAGACACACGGCAACGCTCATTGAGGCTGATTTTTTATGGCCCAGCGCAAAAAATTTGGTGAAAATATGCAACTAGCTGAGATTCATTAAAAAAAAAAAGAAAACAGAAAAACACTCAAAATCGAAGCTGTGGGGAAAATATGATTTGAGTGTTTGAATTTTGTTTTTGGTTTCGGAATTGGAAACACACTCGTGTGGTGAATTCTTCGCGTAGGCAGCGACAGTGTGTGTGTGTGTGTGTTGAGTAGGGGGGTGTGGGCACTGCAGGGGGTGGCGGCTGCTGCTGTTCCTACAGCTTGTTTGCTTTTAAATTTAAATGAATGAAAAATAAAAAAAAAAATAAAAACTGGCATGAATTTGTCGCAAGTCCACACAACGAACCGCCCCACGCACCGCACCGCACCGCACCGCACCGCCCAGCCCCGCCCCGCCTCGACCAGCACGCACCGTAAAGCCGAGCCGTCATCAGCAACGGCAACGGCAACGGCAACATGAGCGCGGCGAGCGAGCGCGCCTACAAGTTGGCATATTTTCAATTTCCGTTTTTTTGAAAAACAACAACAGCAACACAGCAAAGCCCCCAACACTCAAACAAGCACACACACAAGCACGCATATACGGCACACACACACCAACAAAGCAGCACAGCCCCAAAGCTTATGTTGGCGTCGGTTGCCGCTGACGGGCATCGGGCAACGAGCAGCGGGCAGCGGCGGTGGCGGCAACGTCCGGTTGGTTTTTAGTACGAAAATTCGTCGCCGTCGCCGTCGTCGTCGTCGTCGTCGTCGTCGCTTATAGCATAGGCTTCGTGCGCTTTTGAGGCCTGTAGTCGCTGCATGTGGGACAAGGGCGCTAGCTGTTGGCGGGGGGCTTAAGAAAGGCCGACCATGTGTTGTCGCCTTACAATGCTGTGTAGTTCAAAATTGTTTAGTAGTCACTCGAGCGGCGTGAGTGCAGCGAATTCATTGAGTCAAAGAGCGAATTCGCTTGCGCTCTCGTTAATGATCAGCCATATGCATACATACGCACAGCGGCACACATACACAAATATATATGTATACATATCATATTATACCAGTCGGATTTTGCGAAACGTGTTTTGTGTAAAAGTGCATTTGCTTGAACAGCAATAAAATGAAATCAAGCAGCATAAATGTACAAATAAATAAACATATCCAACTACATATTGGAATATGCATAATATCGAAATCAGCAATAACGAATAAAAGACACGCCTATCAAAATATTGGATCATCTAGCATTTATAATGAGGAAAACTAAACAACATTTACAAGTAATACACCAACAATAAAATGTAAATATACATATATTGTCAAAAAATGTTGTTTCTACCCACGTATTGCTATTAGCACTGGAAAAGGCAGTGAGCGGAACTGCTTTTGGCATGCGCTCATGTCCGACTGGGTGCTCGCCGCACTCACACAACTGCGCTCTCAGCGCGCTCTTTTCGCCCCACATACAATTTCAGAATGAAACGTATTCGCCGTTGAAAAAAGCAAACGGTTGCCAGTACGTCGCTTGGAACTCGGCATTCATTTCGCTTCAAAAACTTTGAGCGTGTACACAGTGCAACGTGAACGGAGCTGAGCAGAGCGGCTGCCGCGAAGAGTATAATTTTTTTTAGCCTGGCATATTAAACATTCACATAAAACAATTTAACAACAATTCAAATCGCACATAACGAACCGACGACCAGTAACCAGAGCAATAAATAAGTTCAAATTTAAATGAAAATATTGTGCAAAATTGAAGTGAGTTCTCAAATGTTGTTTGTATTTAATAAATGAATTGCAAACGCAATCGAAAATCTATTTTGGAATTACAAATTGCTTCCAATGGAAATCATGTGCCTAAAAATGTAAATTGCGCAAAGAAAATCGACGTCTATTTAAAAGTCCAACAACAGCAACAACAACAACAGCAACAACAACAACAACGAGCACGGCAAAAATATCTAGCGAAAAAAAACACAAAAAAAATTTCAATTCAAATACAAAACGTGTTAAGCGAAAAATAAAACAACAGCAAAAGCAGCAGCTACAACAACAACAACAGCAGCAGCAACAACAGCAGCAACAACAACAGCAACAACAACAGCAGCAACAACAACGACACACGAAATTTGTCTATATAAAATTGCATAAAAATATTTTTTTACTGTAGTGTGTTGTCGTAGCGCACAAATACAGCTGCAAAGCGACACTCACACAGCTGCAGCCGTCGACGTGGCCCCCGTCTAAGTGTTTGTCCGTGTGAGCATGTGTGTGTGCGTGCCAGTGTACATGTGTGTGTGTGAGCCGCAGTCGCTGTCAACGTCAACGTAAACGTCGCCGTCACCGTCACCGTCAACGTTACCGTTGTCGCTGCCGCCGTCGCCGTCGCCGTCGTCGTCGTCGCTGCTGCCGTCGCAAACGTTCATTTATTATTATTATTATATTTTTGGCACGCAAACCTGTAACAGTCGCCTGTGCTGCCAGCGTCGCCGTTTCCGTCGCAGTCGCAGTCGCTGTCAACGTCGCGTTTTGTGTTAATTAAATTTACTTTTGTGAATGAAATGCGAAAAAAAACCAGCAAAGCGAATAAAAAAAATCTTTTTTAATATGTACATAAATGCTAAATAAATAACGCAAGCAGCAAAGCAAAGCTACGCCCGTCTATTTGTATATGCACACACAAATAAATATATACATACAAACACACACACACACACACACACGCACACGTATGTATTATGTGCCGCGATCGCGAGTAGTCGAAATAAAGGCCACAAAAATCAAGTCGAATCCGAATCCGAATCCGAGTGCCCCAAACGCCCCAACTTTGGATTAAGCATTAATTGGATATATATACATATATATATTCCGACTCAGATCGCACGGATTATATATTCATATTGGATTTTAACGGATTGCTTTTGAAAATCAACGTAAGTCTCGAAAATATCTGGAATCTCTCAATTAATCGAATTGTTCAGCCTTCGCGCCGTATCTCAGATATCAGGAAATGCACAATTACCAATTTCCATGGCAGGGTCGTGACAAATGCAAATGTTCATTTATGTCTATAAACAAATACACACACACACACACACACACACACACATGTGTGTGTGTTTTATAGCATAGTATTTTCTGGTAAACAACAACAGGAAGGATTATTTTGAGCTTTAATCAAACAAGCTAATAATTTATGTAGGAAATGTTTACACTTTCTGTGTTTTTTTTCGAGAGAGATTGTCGCAACATTTTTGCCGGAAATTCAAGTTTTGTATTATTAATCAATATTATTTATAAATGAGTTAATTTTCTAGTTAATATGTGACTAGAAAATGTAATTTCTGGACTATTTTGCGTGTGTTTCTCTTCTCTGTGGATCTATTATTTTGAGAATATTTCAGAATTGCTTTTGGGATCGATTTAAGTATTCAATCTTCACTTCTTCGCACTAATTTCCTTCTTATTATTGATATGAAATAAATAAAACAAAGTCGAAATCAAGTCCAAGATTTAAAGTCATTTTTGAGCTAGATTTAAGTCCATTTTGTGCCTAAAATTGGTATATAAAGCTTCAAGTAAAGTCTTAAGCGAGGTTTTAAGCAAAGTCAAAAGCTGAAAGCAATTTTTTACTTGATTAAAGTCAATTTCTTGTTTATTATTGGTATATTAGGGTTCAACTAAAGTCTTAAACTGATTCTTAAACCAAGTCAAAAACTTAAGGTACATTTTGTGCTTGATTCAAGTTCATTTCGTAGCTAATATTGGAAGGCAAAGCTTCAAATAAAGTCTTAAATGGTCTTAAAGTAAGTACAAAACGTTTTTCAAGCAAGTCCAAAAGTGCTTAAAGTTTGCCAAACTGTCTCGAATTGGAAATGATTTTGGTTATTTAAAAGAAAAAATTGCTTAAAATATGCCTTCTGTACTTAAAATAAGTTAAAATATAGAAATGTAATTCTGCTCTAATGCCAATCAAATTTGTTTCTAAAATATCAAATTTAGCAGCAATTAAAGAGCAACAAAATGCGAATGGGGAATGTTTTATTTGCAATTTGAGGCTTGAAATAAAATCAGATACAAGATTTTCTATATTTCTAATTTTTTCTGTATTTTCTATAATTTTATGATAATTATAAGAAACAGTCCGTATAAATGGAATAATAAAGCCTTAATCAAATAAATGACTAAATCAAATATAATTCAATAGGATATAAAAAAAAAGGCTGAGTACTTTCAATTTGAATTATTCAGCAATTTTTCATATTGAAAAATTATAGAAAATTTATCTGGCTCTCTTTTTTCAAACGCCGTGTTACATGTTGCCTGACAAATTTGTCATTTACAACGAAAGGGTATCAAACGAACTGAAATATGTTTAACTGACTTTGCAGTTGTTTGTTTGTCTCGTCGCGCGGCTATTTACCGATCTGCCAGGCAGATAATGCGACGGCAACTAATAAAGATTAGAATTTGTGTAAAAATATATATACGAGAACTGAACGAAAACAGTTTGTTCAATTGTTGTATATAGTTCTATGTATGTATATATATATATATATAAGTGTATGTGTGTGTGTCTGATCGATCGGATGTGATCGGGCTGGATGCGTTTGCCTTGCGCTTCATTGTTGCCCGGCTGATAAGGCCTGCCGATTACGAACTTGCCCATTCACTAAATCTGCCAGTTGTCTAATCAGTTTCTCACTCATTGTTTTCCCTTGCCCGAACACCTGAGCACTCGAACACCCAAACAACCCAAACAACCCAAACACTCGAACAACCCAAACACTCGAGCACTCTTCCAAAGTTGGCTCTAATCTAAAAGTCAACTGGGAAATCACGTGCCAACGCTCGCTGCACGCCCCATAAACATGCCTAGCCAAAACTAAAAAATAGAAAAGAATAGTTATATATATATATATCTTTATATATAATATGTGTATATATAAATGTATAAAAAAGAGTTCTATTTGTGGGCCGATTTCGTCATCGATAGTTCTTGCGGCATCCGCCTCGATAAGCGCACTTTCGTCCAGCTTTTACTTTCTATTTTCCACTGACAAAGCGCTTCCAATATCAGCTCGGCAGTTATCGGCCCGCTGCGGCACTACTGAAGTGCGTGGAGAACTCCGGCGGCTAGGGTACGACAATTTGTCGTAAATAAACCCAGTTAAGATCCAGGACACGCAGCTCGAAATGAACGACTGCACAATACGCTGTAAAAGCTGAAAGCCCTGCATCTATTGGAATTGCTTAGAAAAGGGTTTATTTAGAGGGTGTTTTATGGTATATTATACTATATATATATAGATCCAGCATAATATTATATCTTAGACACATATTCTATAACATATCTCTAAATATTCTACTAACTGTAAGCATACTCTATTTACAAATTATGATGCTTCTTCGGCACATACTTGATAACAGATTTAGTATATTATATTCCTACTCCAGATCCAGATCCAGAATATTATATTCCTACTCTACATACCCTGTCAGACACATAGATACTTCTTAGACATATAGTCTATAAACACATCCAACATATTTTACTTCTTCGACCCATTTCCGCATTTGTAGCCAAGCTTTAAGAAACTCATTAGTTAACCTTTTAGCCTTGGGCTTGGGAATTTACACATATTCGAATGGCATCTTTATGCCCTGTGAATTTCAACAAAATCGTACCATAAACACCCGAGTTACTCAAGAACTTATATAGTCTTAATGACTCTCAAACTGTCTTGGCTTGTGAATTTCAAGCTGTTCTAGATATTCAGACAGAATTCTATAAGTCGAAGCTTGGCCGCAAGCAAAAAGTCTGCCCAGCCGATCAGGCTATAAACACATATCGAATCAATATACCCCTTGAGCATCAAGTACAGGGTATTCAAATAGTTAAACCTAGCCAACGGACTGCGGGCCGTCTAAGTCGAGAGTCCAAAAATAAATAAAGAGGCGTACAAACGATTTTATTTTTTTTCAGCCCGATAAGTTCGTTGTGGGGCATGTTAACATTTTGTTTTGCCCCCATCTTGTTGTTGTTGTCGTTGTTGTTGTTGTTGTTGTTGTTGTTGTTGCTGTTGTTGTTTATATTTTGATCGATCGCCTCTGCGTTCCACATACGTTTAGTTGTCGAGCGTTCTCTTCTTTTTTTCTTGTTGGTTTTTTTTTGGCTCGTGACTGTTTTTTTATTTTGGAAACGAAGTCGATTTCGATTTCGATCTGTGATACGTTTTTTTGTTGTTGTCGTTCTGATAGCTGAAGCTAAAACAGGCGGCAGGGGGAGGCCCCCCATCCCCCACTGTCACCCCCCGACCCCTCGCAGAGCTCTCTCTGTGTAATGTGCGTGCTTTTCAATGGAATTCTGATATGGCATAGTTTTTATCAAATTCGCCAGGCGCACTTGGCATTAAATTTAATTTGAATATATTCACACACACACACACACACACACAGCTACAGTTATATGCACCTATTTATGTCATAGCCAAAAATATGCAGAAAGCGGCGAAATTCATTCATGAACGTGTCTAAAAGCTAACGCTTCTCGCGTATATAAATAAATAAATTATATGCTTAAATTTGATTAAGCAAATAAATAACAAATAACAACAACAACAACAACAAGAAGAAGAACTAGCAGCAGGTATTCAATGTGTTAGACAAAAACACTTTGAGCCAAAATCTACAATGTCGTTGATGACGCAGTCAAGAAAACGTGGCCAATGGCAAATTGTTGGCCGGGAAAACCGAGCCACATACGCAAATGCAGAAGGCAGAAGAAAACCAACAAAATGTTTTATTACATATCATTACTATATATATATATATAATGCATATATGAGTGCATGGCATATGGCAAGACATTATCTATATAGAATTCGACTTTTTATTTATATAATTAATTTCACTTAAATCAATTTATTTATGTACTTAATTTCAATTGAATACATTTATTGTCATAATCAATTTAATTGAATTTATTTATGTAAATATTTTAATTTAATGTGTTTATATAAATATTTTAATTCAATTTGTTTGTACAATTTATATATTTAAATTATTTTCATTTATACATGCTTAATTTGATTTGATTTAATTTATTTATATACTTAGTTCAATTTAAGTAAATTAATTTATATACTTAATTTAAGATTTCTGGGCTCACTTTAAGTTCGATTTGTTGATAAAGCCAAACTCAATATGGGAGCTGCTTTAGTTAAAAGTTGTTGCTATTCAAATGCCTTAAAACACGCTTTATGCAATATCTCGCATTGAACTTTGAACTTAGCTGGCACGTCCTTCATTTCTTAATTGAATACAGTCTAGCCTACTCTACGCTAGATTTATCACTTGCTGGCTCAAACACAGCCAAAGCTGATTAATTGAAAGGCAAATAACATATTCGCTTCCTTAACCGTTTGGGCTGTGGCTTAAAGTTGTTTATATATAGAGCTTATGTGTATAGATTTGTTAATCTTGTAAAAATTGTGCATTTAAATCAAGGCAAAAACATTTAAATCAAGCCCAATCAAACTAAATAGAAATTAGTGAAAGACAACAGAGCCAGGCAATGTTGCCATAAATTAAATATTATTTAAATACACTTGCAGCACTATATATACAGATTCTCACACATACATATATATCTATCTATGCATATTCATGCAAGTGGACGGACTTCGCTTTGAAGAAAAATCTCAATTTTGCGGCCGCCAGCAAAGCGAGACCCCAACTGAAAAGCCAAAGAAGGAACCCCAAAGAAAACGTATTTAAAATAAAATCAAATGCAAATACAAATACAAATAAAAATAAAACAAAGGCAAAATAATAATAAATACATGCGAGAGGAAAAGGCAAAAAGTCTGAAAAGATTTTATGCCGCGCAGCAAACATGTGATTTTAATTATTTTTGTCGTCGCCAAATTGT